CACACGTGGATATTTAATGAACAAAGGTGGCTCTGAAAAGTGGTAAACAAAGGGACAAAAATCAAGGAATTATCCTGTCTTTCTTTTATGAACAGTACTCCAGGGCAGCCAAATAGTAGAGACGGGGAAGTGTCCCTTTGTGTAACATTCCAGCTACTATCTGAAGAGGAAACGATAGAATTAGAACATCACACATTGCAATCCCCATCTCGCATCAACAGTTGCGGGCAGTGAGCACCTGCGGCTAACATCACAAATGCAGAGAGAACTAGACGGAGAAACCAAGTACCTCCTAGGGGATCATCCTGCCAAAAACCGAGACTGCAGCCAATGAAGCTTCTAGATTCCATGCCCACTTTACAGGGATTACAGGACACAGAAGCACATGTTAAATGCCACTAGGGGACGCATCCGGTCCAGACCGGGAAACTCTCCAGGACAAATGATCCAGGTCTTCAGCAAAAAATTGTAAGAAAAAAAAAAAGAGCTGAAAGAAGAAACCTATAGATTAAAAGAGATTTAAGAGACATGTCCATCAATTGCAGTGAATTCACCTTATTGGAGTCCTGATTCAAATAAAGTAGTAGCAATTTTAAGAGAGTTATGAGGCAATTGGAAATGTGGATACTGCCTGGATATTTGATGATATTAAGGAATTATTGTTGACTTTCTTGATGTGACCATGGTATTCAGGTTATGGTTTTCTTTAAGGGTTTTTATCTTTTGGAGAAATATATTGAAATATTTACTGAGGAAATGAAATCATGCATGGGATTTGCTTCAAAATTATACAGGAGGGGTGGGTGGGGTCGGCGTACAAGTAAAGCTGAGCCAGTGAGAGTTAGCAATTGTGGGAGCTGAGTGACGGGGACATGGGGGTTCATGATACCATTCTGTCTACTTTTGTTTAGGCTTCAAACTTTCCTAACAAAAAGTGCTTTTTAGAGAACAGTATCAGACTGTGGGAATGCTGGGGCTTGTGTCTTCATTCAACATTATGTTTCAAAGATTCACGCACATCGTAGCTGCCATTCATCCTCTTTTCACTTCCCATGTGTGAATATAGCACAGTTTTCTCCTTGTGCTGACACTAGATTTTTGAGTTGTTTTTCGTTTTTCGCTATTACAAGCCGTGCTGCTGTGAACGGTTTTGCACGTGTCTGCTGGGACACACGTACGTGCATTTCTTTAGGAGGTATGTACCTGGGACAGGAACTGCTGGGTCCTAGGGTAGGCATTCACTGAGTAATGCCAAATTGTCTTCCAAAGTGTTTGTACCGAGTTCCACCTCTCCATCATCACTTCTGTTGTTCCACATCCCTGCCAACACTTGGTATCTTCAGACTTCTTAGCTTTCTTCCTAATCTAGCAGGATAATGGTATTTCATGCAGCCTTAATTAGCATTTCCTTGAAGTTAAGCGTTTTCTTATCCTTATTGGCCACTGATTCTTCAATTGCTTCTCTACATCTTTTGCCCATTTGCTATTGAGTCAACTCTTGTTTATTTACAGGAGCTCTTTATATATTCTGACTACTAATCTTTTGAGAGGCAAGATAGTATAACTGGTAAGCCAGACCACTGGATTCATATCCTGATTCTGCAACTGCGAGAGCATGAACAAACACCACACTTCTCTGTACCTCAGTTTCCTCATCTGTAAAATGGAGTCACTACAAACCTTACCTCTTGCTAGAGATGGAATGTTTGTGTCTCCCCAAAATTCATGTGTTGAAGCCATAACCCTCCATGTGGTGGTATTAAGAAGCAGGGCCTTTGGGAAGTAATTAGGTTTAGGTGAAGTCATGGGGGGCGGCCATGATGGGATTAGTGCCCTTACAAGGAGAGGAAGAGACACCGAGCCCTCCCTCTCCACCATGGGTAGATACAGCAAGAAGGCAGCTGTCTGCCAGCCTGGAAGAGAGCTCTCCCCAGAACCTGGCCATGCTGGCACCCTGATCTGGGACTCCCAGCCTCCAGAAGTGGGAAATCAATGTCTGCTCTTTGAGCCCCCAGTCTACTGTGTCCGCCATCGCAGCCAGAGCTGACTGAGACACCTTTCAAGGTGCGCGTGAGGATTAAAGGAGATCATATCTGTGAAGCGTGTAGAACCGTGTCTGGTGCACAGTCACAGGAAGCGCTGGGTAAACAGTAAGCATTTGCCATTATATGTGTAAGAATATCTGCTCTCTCTTCTTGGCGGGTCTTTTCATTTTCATGACAGTGCTTTATGCAGAATCTTTTTTTTTTTTTTATGAGGAAGATTGGCCCTGAGCTAACATCTGTTAGCATCTGCCAATCTTTCTCTATTTTGTATCTGGGTCGCGGCCACAGCATGGCCGCCAACGGGTGGTGCTGGTCTGCACCACAACCCAGCAGGGCCGCCAAAGCACAGTTCATGGAACTTTACCACTAGGCCACTGGGCTGGCCCCCGGAATCTTTTTTTTTTAATGGCTCAAACGCAGCCTCAACGCGGGGAAGCAGGAACTGCGCTCCTCGCCGGCAGGTAAGGAGGCCAGGGTGGGATCGGAGTAGACTGGCACCAGCTCCATTACTCCACGGCTGTGTCGATCCCTTCCTCCAAAGGGGACTGATGTCCTGGACACTCGAGCTGGTGCATGGCGGCAGAAATCATGCCAGCTGCACTAGGAAGGTTTCTTTTGGCTGCTAGTGACAAAAAGTAAAACAAAAATAAAAACTGGGGAAAAGAGAGGAGCAGAGCTGCTTGACTCCTTTGCCGTAAACATCCGGTTTCAAGCACACCCGGCTCGAGGGCCTCTGGGCTCGTGGGAATCTTGTCTCTCCCATCGCCTGGCCCTGCTTCGCTCAGGCAGGGTCCCCCGATACAAGGACGTGGCAAAGGTGGAGCCCGGCCACCCGGCGCTTACATCCCGCCAGCTTAGTGGCCCCAGGAAAAGAGACGCCCACCCTGAGTCCCCGGGCCTGGGCGAGGGGCGTGGCCAGGGCTGCGCTGCTCCGATTGGCTGGTCTGGGCCCAATGCCCTCCCCTGGGGCTTGGGGGCGGGGCCAGCCCTACCAGAGCCACGTGGCTTGAGATTAAAGGACCAGTGGGTCCCCAAAACATCATGGAGGTGCTGATTCCAGCAAAAGAGCTAGGCTTGCAAAGTAGCAGACATCCACTACAATGGTATCAATGCGTTTTTTTTACCTTGGCCGGAGAAAGCATATTTGGGACCCTGGATGCAAGGGGTGATGTGGAGAGTGATAATCAAGGGGACACTTGTGTGTGGGATCTGACCAGGGCCCTGCAGGGAGCTGGAGGAGCAGCAGCCAGGAGGGGCCCGCAGAGGGAGGAGGCGACTAACGGCTTATGATCTGCCAGGCAGTGTTCACGGGTCCTTGGTTCTTGGCCACTGCAAGATGTCAGTCAGGTTTTGTTAAAATCTTCCTCCTACTGTTGCTGGTACTCTGGGGCAAATATAGGGGAGAGGTGTGACCTTGTGGATGGCAGAGGTGACCATGGAAGTGGCAGAAACAGCGGCCAGAGCCAGAGGTGACAGGTGACCACGGATGGGACCTCAAAACGTGATCATAATATCTATCGTCCACTGAGCACCTGCTATGTCAGGCACTGCTTGAACCTGCCCACTTGTTAGCTCATCAACTTCTCACAACAAGCCTCCGAGGGAGGTCCTGTTATCACCCCCAGTATAGAGATGAAGAAACAGGCACAGAGAGGTTAAGTGACTTGCCCAAGACACACAGTTCTAAGTGGCAGAGCTGGGATTCGAACCCTCTGGCTCCTAACCCTGGCACGTGTTCATAATCACTGTCACCGGCCTCACGTGGGGGGTGGGGTGGCAGAGTCTCAGCAATTCTACAGGAAGAAAACCTGTCTTATAACCCCCTTTTGGTGGCCACACAGCCAGAGGCTCAGACAGTATCTGTTGGTCTATTTGGAGGGAAGGATGTTAGAGGGCTGAGGGACATCTGGGTGCCACAGAGTGACAAGGCTCTGCCAGCACAGGAGACACCCTTCCCCCCCACCCCCCAATGCCCTGCTGAGGGTGGAAGCTCCACTGGGACAAAAATTGGTGAGTTTCTGGCCTCTTGGAACCTATTTCTCCCATTTCTTCAAACGGCTCCAGCATCCTTTTTGGGAAACATTGCTCCCCGAACCCTGAGCCACGTGTGGGCAGGGCGGGGAGTCATCGTCCCCGGGGGGCCCAGCTCCCAGCTTAGGGCAGGTAGGTGCAGAGTGGCCTCTCCACTACCAGCCCTGCCTGGGGCGACCAGGCTGAGGTCTGCCCGGTCGGGAGGAGGGAGACGGGGGTCCTGACGGCTCCCTGTGGGCGACTGAGGACTTACAAGGACAGAGAGAAGAATGGAGAGGGACAGACAGTGAGACATGCACAAGACAGGCAGCTAGAGAGAGAAACAGAGACACAGAAAGAGAGACAAAGAGAGAGGGATGGAGACAGAGGGAGTCACTGAGAGAGAGAGAGACAAAGAAAGAAAAACAGAGAAAGACAAACAGAGACAAGAGAGAGACACGGAGAGACAGCGAGGCCAAGATGGAGAAGAGAGATCGATGGCAGCAATGAGAGACGCCGGCAGATGGAGAGACAATGAGAGATACAGACGCAGCGGGAAACACGCCCCCCATCCCTGCTCTCCTTGGCCCCACAGAGGGAGACACGCAGGGACAAGCTGGTAGAAAGGCACCCCCACGCTGACCTCCTTCTAGGCACTCCCACAGCGGCAACCAGTCCTCCCTCGGCTCTGCCCGCCTTCCCTCCTGCTGCCAGCCAAGCCCATTAAGCTGCTACGGTGGCCACAACTGAAGGCCCCACGCCCTGGGGAGGGAACCGCTGAAGAGGCGTCCCTGCTCCCCACACCAAACCATCAATTAGTATTAACGAGGGAGGCTTCTCACGCGGAAAGACCCCCCATGGGGGTCAGATGGAGGAGAAGCCCCGCCCCCCGTGACTCAAGAGGTTAAAGGGCTTGGGACCAGCCTGTGAGCCCAGAGTGTTGGGATGGCGTGTGACAGCAGGAGGGTCACCATCCAGCTGGTGGACGAGGAGGCAGGGCCTGGAACCAGGGGCCCAAAGCCTTTTCGGGGCCAGAGCTATGAGAAAATCCGAGCAGCCTGCCTGGAGGAGGGGGTTCTGTTCCGAGATCCCTACTTCCCTGCTGGCCCAGATACCCTTGGCTATGACCAGCTGGGGCCGGACTCCGAGAAGACCAAAGGGGTGGAATGGATGCGGCCCCATGTAAAGTGGGGCTGGGGCTTGGGGCCTGGGTCTGAGGGCGGAGGGGCTGGGGGCCTGGACTCCCGGGTCTGAGGGCGGAGGGGCTGGGGGCCTGGACTCCTGGGTCTGAGGGAGGAGGGGCTAGGGGCTGGGCTCCTGGGTCTGAGGGAGGAGGGGCTGGGGCCTGGACTCCTGGGTCTGAGGGAGGAGGGGCTGGGGGCCTGGACTCCTGGGTCTGAGGGAGGAGGGGCTGGGGGCCCGGACCCCTGGGTCTGAGGGAGGAGGGCTGGGGGCCGGACCCCTGGTCTGAGGAGGAGGGGCTGGGGCCCGGACCCCTGGGTCTGAGGGAGGAGGGGCTGGGGGCCTGGACTCCTGGGTCTGAGGGAGGAGGGGCTGGGGGCCCGGACCCCTGGGTCTGAGGGAGGAGGGGCTGGGGGCTGGGCTCCTGGGTCTGAGGGAGGAGGGGCTGGGGGCTGGGCTCCTGGGTCTGAGGGAGGAGGGGCTGGGGGCCTGGACTCCTGGGTCTGAGGGAGGAGGGGCTGGGGCCTGGACTCCTGAGTCTGAGGGAGGAGGGGCTAGGGGCTGGGCTCCTGGGTCTGAGGGAGGAGGGCTGGGGGCCCGGACCCCTGGGTCTGAGGGAGGAGGGGCTGGGGGCTGGGCTCCTGGGTCTGAGGGAGGAGGGGCTGGGGGGCTGGGCTCCTGGGTCTGAGGGAGAGGGGCTGGGAGCTGGGCTCCTGGGTCTGAGGGAGGAGGGCTGGGCCTGGACTCCTGAGTCTGAGGGAGGAGGGCTGCGGGCTGGGCTCCTGGGTCTGAGGGAGGAGGGCTGGGAGCTGGGCTCCTGGGTCTGAGGGAGGAGGGGCTGGGGCCTGGACTCCTGAGTCTGAGGGAGGAGGGGCTGCGGGCTGGGCTCCTGGGTCTGAGGGAGGAGGGGCTGGGGCTGGACTCCTGGGTCTGAGGGAGGAGGGCTGGGGCTGGGCTCCTGGGTCTGAGGGAGGAGGGGCTGGGGCTGGACTCCTGGGTCTGAGGGAGGAGGGGCTGGGCTCCTGGGTCTGAGGGAGGAGGGCTGGGGGCTGGCCTCTGGTCTGAGGGAGGAGGGGCTGGGGGCTGGGCTCCTGGGTCTGAGGGAGGAGGGGCTGGGCTGGACTCCTGGGTCTGAGGGAGGAGGGCTGGGGGCTGGACTCCTGGGTCTGAGGGAGGAGGGGCTGGGCTCCTGGGTCTGAGGGAGGAGGGGCTGGGGGCTGGGCTCCTGGGTCTGAGGGAGGAGGGGCTGGGGGCTGGGCTCCTGGGTCTGAGGGAGGAGGGGCTGGGGCTGGACTCCTGGGTCTGAGGGAGGAGGGCTGGGGGCTGGACTCCTGGGTCTGAGGGAGGAGGGGTGGCCGGGCAGGCTCAGAGCAGACCAGCCCCCCCTCCCCTCTGTTGGGTCAGGGAAGGCAGCCGCCCGCCCACAGGCTTTACAAGCCTCTCTGTGCTCATTACTGAGCAGCGAGGGCAGGAGAGGACCTGGCGTCTGACCTCCCCGGAGCTCCCTCCCTCCCTCCCTCTCCCGGCTGAGGCCTGGCATCCCGTCACCCACAGGAGTTTTGCGCTGAGCCGCAGTTCATCTGTGAGGACATGAGCCGGACAGACGTGTGTCAGGGGAGCCTGGGTAGGACCCCCGCACCATCCTGAGCCCCCAGATCCCACAAGCTGCCCCTGAGACCCTGACAGCTCCGCCCCCGGGCCTCCCCTCCGTGTCCCTCTTTCCCCATCACCCAATCCTGGCCTTTCTTCCCAGGTAACTGCTGGTTTCTTGCGGCCGCGGCCTCCCTCACTCTGTACCCCCGGCTCCTATGCAGGGTGGTCCCCCCTGGACAGGGTTTCCAAGATGGCTACGCAGGTGTCTTCCACTTCCAGGTAAAGCTTGATTCTTCTGTCCATGCCTCAGTTTCCCCCATGGTGACATGGATTTAATAGTTGACGCTGTCCCCTTGGAGTTGTAATTCTTGGGCTGGAACAGCTGGGGCAGGGGTCAGAGGCTGAGGTCGCGCCTGGGCCCCGCCCCTTGTCCCGCCAGCTCTGGCAGTTTGGCCGCTGGGTGGACGTCGTGGTGGACGACAGGCTGCCTGTGCGTGAGGGCAAGCTGATGTTCGTGCGCTCGGCTCAGCGGAATGAGTTCTGGGCCCCGCTCCTGGAGAAGGCGTACGCCAAGTAAGGCTTCCAGCACCCCCGCGGCAGCCCCGAGCCCCCAAGGACCCCCGGATCCTCTGGACACCCCACCAAAGACCCCAAACCAAGTCCCAGGACTCTGATGTCACACCCTCCCCTGAGCACCTCTGAATAATAAACACCTCCCTCCATCGCCATCTCACGGAAATATTCCTGGGGACCCACCAGACACCCCCAATTCTTAAGGAGCCTGAAATCTCATTTTTCAGGCCCTGAGGCACCAAATCTAACATTTATCCCCTCGGGGGCCTGTCATCTCAGACAGTCTCTCCTGATCCATCGAGAAACCCAAAGGATCTCCAAAATATTGGCTGTGGTCCCCAGACCCTCGAATCTTTGCTTTTCCCCATCTTGTGCCTCTGAAATCTCAGACGAGCCCTCAGGGTACCCCTGAAGCAGACATCACCCCTCCGGAGAGTCGAGGTTTCAGACACAGTCTCCAGGACGCCCAGCATTCTGACAGAGCTCTCCTGTGACCTCTGAATCACACAGGCCACCAGGGACCAGAGGCCCGATTTCCAAGGGCTTCTAGAATATGCCACAGTTTCTACCTCGAGAGTTTGCAAACTTCAGGGATAGCCCTGGGACCCCACACCCTGCGACAGAGGCCCCCCAGATCCCTGGGCTTGCCCGAGATGCTCGCACGGGCCTCAGACACCCCCACCCCAACCCGCTCCCACAGGCTCCACGGCTCCTACGAGGTGATGCGAGGCGGCCACATGAACGAGGCTTTCGTGGACTTCACGGGCGGCGTGGGCGAGGTGCTCTACCTGAGGCAAGGCACCCCGGGCCTCTTCTCGGCCCTGCGCCATGCCCTGGCCAAGGAGTCCCTCGTGGGCGCCACTGCCCTGGTGAGAGAGTCAGCCTCCCATGGGGACCCCCCACCCAGACCAGAGCACAGTCACAGCTGGAAGGGGGCAGGGGTCACGTGTCCTCCTCTCTGCTTTCACTGTTGCCTTATTCTCTCTCACAAATCAAACACGAGCAAGTCAAAAGGACATTTATTTACTCTCAGAACTAACCAATCTTCAGGCATAGCTGGATCCAGGCGCTTAGTGGATGTTGCAAATGCATTTTTCTATTCTTCGTTCTGACTTAGCTTCACTTTCAGGCAGGTTTTCCCCTCATGGGCACAAAAGGGGCCCTCACAGCTGTAGGTACCTCCCACCACCCCAGCGGTTAAAAAAAAAAAAAAACAAAACAAAAAACGAGGGCCTCTTTCTGAGAATTTCAGCAAAAGTCCCAGGGTTGATTTTCATGGGCTCAGCTTGGGTCATATGTTCGTCTGTTACCCAGTCACATACTCATTCATTCACTGAGTCAGTCTAACTCATTCACTCATTCGTTTACTTAATCCTCCACTGTGTAACTGATTCTCCTTGTCTTTTGTGTCTCTCTGCCCTCTCCATCTCTCTCTGTCTGCTCTGTATCTCTCTGTCTCTTTGTCTCTCCTCCTCCTTCCATCTATTGCTGACTCCTCTCCTCTGCCTCTCTCTCCGTCATCTCCCATCTTCCCTCACCAACGCCCTCACCCTCTCCAAGCCCCGCGCCATTCAACTGGGGGCTCTGGTTGACTCCTGCTTTGGTGGCAGGAGGTCGGGGGGTGGGGCAGAGAGGAGCGGCCATCCTCCCGTCCCCCACCGTGGCCTCACCGTCCCCTGTCCTCCGCCCAGAGTGATCGGGGCGAGTACCGCACAGAAGACGGGCTGGTGAAGGGACATGCGTATTCCGTCACGGGCACGCACAAGGTGGGTATCCCCTTGGGGGGGCTGGCAGGGGGTATCCCAGCGTCACCCCCACTGCCGATGCCGCCCTCAGGTGTCCCTGGGCTTCACCAAGGTGCGGCTGTTGCGGCTGCGGAACCCATGGGGCCGCGTGGAGTGGACCGGGGCCTGGAGCGACAGGTGGGACGCATCTGGGGGGCGGGGGCGGGGGCGGGCTTAGCGCCACCCACCCACCGCTCACTCCCCAGTCTCCCCAGTTGCCCCCGCTGGGACGCGCTCCCCGCCGAGTGGCGAGAGGCCCTGCTGGTGAAGAAAGAGGACGGCGAGTTCTGGTGAGTTGGGGGCGCCCAGCCCGGCCTCCGGGGGAAGGGAAGGGGCGCCAGGCCGTGGGGCTCAGGGAGGGGGCGGCCTGCGTGCAGGGACACGGCGGAAGTCCCTGGGGATGGGCACTGACCCTGTCAGTGGTAATTTGGGGGTCGGGTTCTACTGGGGAGTCAGGAAGAACTGGCAGTAATGTTAGGGGAATTCATAACCTTGGGGGTTGAAGGGGGAGGGGTGACATTTAGGGCAATTGAGGGGGACTTGGTGACATCCGGGGCGTTTCTTGCGATTTGGCAATATTAAGGGGCGGTAGGATACTTGTTGGTAGTCGAGAGTCTGAGGGTCTTGATTTTGGGGGTTGAACGCAATTTGACGACATTCGGGGGCAGTTTGTGCATCTCACAGTTCGCGGTGGTTTCTGGGGACTTGAAGAAATCTGGCGGAGCTGGGGCTCAGTGATTGGGGGTCCTTTCTGGAGACAGGGTATTACCGCGGGGACTGCAGAGTACGTGGCACTATTTAAGGCATTTGGGGGGTTCCGTGACTCGGGGGTCACGCTGGGGTCTTAACACGTTTGGGAGGCCGGCCCCGGGGGCCGGCGGGGCTCTGACCACTGGCCTCTCGCCGCGCAGGATGGAGCTGCAGGACTTCCTTCACCACTTCGACACCGTCCAGATCTGCTCGCTGAGCCCCGAGGTGCTGGGCCCCAGCCCGGCGGGAGGCGGCTGGCACATCCACACCTTCCAAGGCCGCTGGGTGCGCGGCTTCAACTCCGGCGGGAGCCAGCCTGGTGCCGGTGAGGCCCCGAGGGTCCCTGAGGGGCAAGCCGCGAGGTGGGGTGGGGGCGGGGGCGGGCTGTGGCAGGCCGTAACCCCATTGCTTTCTCCTCTGTTAGAAACCTTCTGGACCAACCCCCAGTTCCGGCTGACGCTGCTGGAGCCCGATGACGAGGACGAGGACGAGGAGGGGCCCTGGGGGGGCTGGGGGGCAGCAGGGGCGCGGGGCCCTGCGCAGGGGGGCCGCACCCCCAAGTGCACTGTCCTCCTGTCACTCATCCAGAGGAACCGACGGCGCCTGAGGGCCCAGGGCCTCACCTACCTCACCGTGGGGTTCCACGTGTTCCAGGTGGGACCCCGCGCTGGGCAGAGGCGCGGGGAGCAGGGAGGCAGCGAGCGGCCGGAGACCGTGGGGGACCGGAGGCGGCGGGGAGGCTGCGGGGTAGAGGATGCGGCCGAGGGTCAGGGACCGAGAGAGAGCTGAGGGAATCAGAAGGAGTGTTGGGAGAGACTGAGCGGCTAGGGAGGGCGCGGAGGGAGGCGGGGGCCAGGAAGGCAAGGGGATGAGGGGTCAGAAAGGGGTCAGAGCAAGGGCTGAGGGCTGAGGGTCAGGGAGGGGACCAAGGAGCAGAGAAGGTCCTTGAGGGCACAGCCGGGAGGGAGGGGTCCAGGAGGAGCTGGAATCTGGATGCGGGGGCAGCGGCTCAAGGAGGGGTGCAATGGGAAACAGAGAAAGAGAGGGCACTGGGAGGTGGAGGCTGTGGAGGGGGCAGGAGGGGACTCTGGGGAGCGGCCGCCGCCTCTGGCCCTGTCTCCCCTTTTTCTTCCTTCTCACAGATCCCGGAGGAGGTGGGTCTCTGATGGGACCCCAGATCCCAGAGTCCATCCGTGCCTGAATCAGCCCCAGGGGCTCGGACAACCTGCGTGGGGGGGGGCAGGGCGGGTGACGGGGGAACCCGCGGGTGTGGACCGGGCGCGGTGGGGGGGGGGGGGGGGGGGGGGGGGGCCGGGGCGGGGGGGGGGGGTGGGTGGGTGGGTGGGTGGGGGGTGAGCTGGGGCGTGAGCTGGGGCGTCGCGGTCACGCCGCCCCCGCCCCCAGCTGCTGGGCCTCTGGGACTCCCCGCGCAGCCGCGCGCTCCTGCCGAGCCTGCTGCGCGCCGACCGCTCGCCCTTCTGCACCCGCCGCGACGTGAGCCGCCGCTGCCGCCTGCGCCCCGGCCACTACCTGGTGGTGCCCAGCGCCGCCCGCGCCGGCGACGAGGCCGACTTCACGCTGCGCGTCTTCTCCGAGCGCCGCCACACCGCGCGGTGAGCGGGCACCCCGTCCGCCCCGGGGACCCCCAGACCCGCGTCCCGGGCGCCCCGGCCCCCGTGCCCCGAGTGCATCCGCCCAGGGCCCCCGGGATCCCGCCTAGACACCCCTCCCCCATTCCTCCGCCGAGACCCCGGGGTGAGCCGCCCCCACTGCCATCTGTAATTTGCAGGGAGATCGATGACGCCATCAGCGCCGACCTGCGCGCCCTGTCGGTGAGGGGCTGCCCTGGAGGGGGCACGACGTGGAGGCTGCTCTTGGCCAGAACTAAACTCCCCCCACCCACAGGTCCCCTACGTTCCCCTGGAGGTGGGCTTGGAGCAGCTGTTTCAGGAGCTGGCAGGAGAGGTGAGGAACGGGGAGGGGGATAAGGGGGACCCCCCCCCGAGCCTCTCCCTCATCCTGGGTGTCTCATTTTGCTCTAGTGTCTCCCTCTCTCTCTGAGCTTAAATCTCATGACCTTCTTCTCTCATGCTCACAGCTCTTCCCTGCCCCAGGGCCTTTGCTCAATCTGTCCCTCTGCCTGGGCGCCTTCTCTCCCTTCAAACCCTCTGCCTGGCTAAGCCTCCTCTTTCTAAAATGCCTTCTCTGGGAGCTCTCCTGCCCCTCCTCCAGGCTGGTCAGCTCCCACAGCCCAGTGCCTCCCCAGTGCAGCCCTGACCGCTCTGGGGACAGGTCTCCCTGTCTGGACTGTCAGCTCTGAAATGGCAAGCAGAGGGAAAGGGGTTCCCTCACTCTCTGCTGTGTCCCCAGCGCTGCTCACCCACCATGCCATTTGGACCCAGCCCCAAGCTGTTTGTTGAGTGGCTATCTGAGTGAATGGCCTCATGACCCGTTCTCTCCCTGACCAGGAGGAAGAACTCAGCGCCCCTCAGCTCCAGACCTTACTAAGCATCGCCCTGGAGCCTGGTGAGCTGGGGGCCAGAGTGGACCCCTGTGCGTGTTAATCCACTATGCTGCTGGGACTCAGGCCATGGGAGCCATGGGCTCAGCCTGGCAGCGCCTCCCCACGTGTGGGTCCTGTGGCAGGACCCGTGGCCAAGGCCACGATCTCAGGGACAGGCAGGGGTTGAAGCCGCCTTGAGCACAGACTCAGAACCCCCTTGCCTGGGGTCAGATCCAGACTCTGTTCGTCCCCGGCAGCCACCTGGCTCTCTGTGCCTCAGTTTCTATTAACATGGGGGTGGCAATAATCTCTAGCATTTACACGGATGGCAGGCATGCAGGACGTTCCGTCTTTTTCTTTTCTTTCCTGTAGCCAGGGCCCACGCGCGGACCCCGAGAGAGCTGGGGCTCAGGACCTGTGAGCAGCTGCTGCAGTGTTTTGGGGTACGTGGTGGAGGTGGTGCCTGGGTGTGGAGGATGGGGCCTGGGGGGCCTCTGCTCCCCTTCTGGGGACCCTGCCTTAGCCACATGCCTCCTCCCCAGCACGGCCGGAGTCTAGGCCTGCACCGTTTCCAGCAGCTCTGGCGCCACCTCCTGGAGTGGCAGGTAAGATGGGGGCTGGGCAGGGCCGCCTCCTCCTGGAGGGAGAAGCCTCTTTACTAACAGGGACTCGGGTGCTATAGGGCTGGTTGGCCTTAGGGAGACGGGGGAATGACCACCCCATGTCAGCTGGGAGGGAACCGGCTAGGACGCCCCTGCCCATCCACCCCTTTCTGTCTGTGTGACCTCAGGCACGTCACCTCTCCTCCAAGCCCCTTGTGGTCCAAGGGATGGCTGCTCGCCCAGGGCACCAGCCGGGAAGGAGGGAGCTGGGGTGGGACCTGCCTGTCGGCCTCCGAGGTCCCCCTTTGGCCCTGGGGGTGCCCGGGGCCTGAGGCAGGGGGCTGACCTGTCCCTCTGTGCCCAGGCCACATTCGACAAGTTCGATGAGGACGCCTCCGGGACCATGAACTCCTACGAGCTGAGGCTGGCGCTGAATGCGGCAGGTAGGGACAGGGTCCTGGGGGGCCTAGGACGGGATCTGCTCCCTGCCTGCTGCATCTTCTTGGGGTCCTGACTGCCCGCCCCGCTGCAGCCATCCACAAAGCCCGCGCCTGGGTTCATTGCCAGCTCTCGGCAGGGACGGGGTAACCCTGAGAGGCCAAATGGGGAGAACCCTCTGTGTGGGGGTGGAAGAGGGTATGAGGGGCTGGGCCTGGGGGACGCAGAGGGAAGATGGGGGAGGCTTGGGAGCTGGTGTCTGAGGCCCCAGCCCCCAGGGCCTCGCGGTGGAATGTCCTGGATTCCTGGGAGCTTGGGTTGGAATCCCAGCTCTGCTGACTCACCCCTCGGCTGGCCCTGGCCGCACGTCCGGCTCCCTGAGCCTCTGTCCCCTCTCTGTAAAGTGGCCACTGCCCGGGGCGGCTCGGAGGAGCCTGTGGAATGGGGCCCGCAGGGCCTGGTGCTGGGGGCGCGCTGCCATGACAGTGTGCCGAGGGCTCCCGCTGGCGGCTGCGTTCTTCGGGGGAGGTGGAACAGCCCCTCCACCCGTGTGGGAGCCGGAGCTGGGCTTCTCCTGGGCTCCAAAGCAAGTTAGAAAAGTGCGGGATCAGCCCCCGCTCTTGGCCTCGTGGGGGCGCTGGAGGGGCAGCCAGGATCAGACGCGGGCCTGCCAGGTCCCCCGCCTGACCCCAGGGCTCGACTGCCACACAAAGGAAGGGGGAGACAAGGGAGATGGGAGGGGGGGACTGTGACCCAGAGGGAGACCCCAAGGGGGCAGGTCAAAGGTCCAGGGATGCGCAAGAAAAAAACAGAGGAGGGGAGAGGTGGAGCCAGAGAGCAGAAGACGGGCAGACATGAGGCAGTGGAACGGAGTCCCGATGGACAGGCACAGAGGCCGGAGGAAGGGGACAGAGGGGAGGTCAGTACGGCCGCTTCAGTGTCACTGAGCCTGGGCCGTGCCCGGAGTGGCTCTAGGTAGGAGAAACTGCTGCAGTGCACTGGTGGGGCCCACGGTCTCGGGGCGCAGACAGACAGCAGACAAGGGAAGCATCTGGGGCAGATGGCATAAGTGCTGTGACGGTGAAAGAAGGCAGGCCAGGGCATCAGGGCGTGCAGGAGTGGGGTGCGGTCTGGGACAAGCTGTTGGGGAAGGCCTCCGGGAGAAGGTGATGTTTGAGCAGAGATGTGATGGAAGGGGAGTGAGCCTTAGGGAGACTGGGACAAGAGCAGTCCAGACAGAGGGAACAGCCAGTGCAAAGGCCCTGAGATGGGATCTTGCCACTGTGTTGGAATAGCTTCGAGGAGGCTGCTGTAGAGTGAACAAGGGGCCCAGTGATGGGGGGGGGGGGGGGTGGGCAGTGTGGCTGGAGGAGGAAGAGGCTGGGGAGGGCAGGTGGTCAGAGAGGAGACACTGGTGGGGAGACAGTGGAGCCCCATGAGGCCTCGGAGGAGCTCAGCTCTTCACATCTATGAGAGGGAGGAGGGAGAGGCAAGTCAGGGGCAGGGCGCATGGGGCTGGAGCCGACTGGCAAGGGAACATTAGTGCCACGTATGGAGGAGGGAATGCCCAGGGCCAGCAGGAAGCCGCCTCCCAGGAGCCCAGGGACAGACGGGCAGGCTCGGGGTCGGGGGACGGCGAGAGAAATGACCCGCTCCCATTGGTCCCATCCTGTGCTCCATAAGCATCGCCTCAACACTTGCTCCCGTGCCCGCCGAGGCTGGGGACTCAGTGGTGACCAGAAACCCTTCCCTGACCTCCCGCGGCTTCCAGTCCAGGGGCAGCCAAAGCCCGCAGTGACAGTGACAGTGCAGAGGGGTCAGGGCGGGACGGGGCGGCACAGGGAGCTGCATGCTGGGGGGTATCGAGAGGACTTCCTGGAGGAGAGTGTCTGAAGAGTGGGATGCTCCCGGCCGAGAGGACAAGGTGCTCTGGGCAGAGGGTACAGCAAATACAAAGGAGGCCAGATAAGGGCCACAGGCCAGGTGGAGAAGTGGGGGAGGGCAGTGGGAGATGGTGTGGCCTGCGGGGCCACCAGGTGGCTGAGGACAGTGCGGGTCATGTCACCAGGGCCCAATACACTAGGTGAGGGGTTTCACGAGTTCCAGGGGACCCTGGGCAGGACCCCACAGCAGGCAACACAGGACACACGAGCCACAACGGTGGTCGGAGGGAGCCGGCAGCTGAGGGCCCTTCGCCCTCCGTGGGTGGGGGTCGCCCACGGTCCTGGGCATGGCATCCCCCCCCAATCCTGAAGGCAGATGAAGGCCAGAGGGAGAGTGACCTGGGGGAGGTCACACGGCCAGGGGGAGGCTGCAGCCCCCAGAACAAGGCATGGCGTGTGACGGCTCCTGCCAGGTGGGTATTTGTTGAGTGAACGGATGCACAGAATGGGGGCAGCAGAGGCCGCTGCAGGCGCCCTCGGCTCACTTGTCTCTGGACTCGAGCGGGATGGAGCGTCACCGCACTCCCGAGCCTGGAGGGGGACCAGTGTCTGCAGCTTTAAAATGACTCCGGCGAGTCCTCATCATGGAGGATTTCTAAACCTCAGAAATCGCCTGAGGGGGAGTATAAAGAAATCGACTCGGGGGCACCCACAACATTCTGCTGACGGGAACACCCTCCAGTGTCCATGAGCAGAGATTCCACAGTTTAAAGGAGTGACGACAGGGACACGTAGCTGTGACATGCTGGACACTGTTCTAAGCTCCACACGTAACATCGTCACACAGCCTTATGGGGTCAGGGCTCTCAGAGGCCCCACGTGACAGATGAGGAAACTGAGGCCCAGGAGTGAAGGGAGCTGTCCGTGGCCACACAGCTGGGATTTGAGAGGGGGAAACAGGCCCCCAGCATCTGTCTTCCCAGGGGAGTGAGGGCGGGGGGGGCGGCACTGAGGGGGTCAGGGGCTCAGAGGCGGCCTCCCCCCAGGCTTCCACCTCAACAACCAGCTGACCCAGGCCCTCACCAGCCGCTACCGGGACAGCCGCCTACGTGTGGACTTCGAGCGCTTCGTGGCCTGTGTGGCGCAGCTCACCTGCATCTTCCGTGAGTGCCACCCCTGGCGTGGGGGGCAGGGGGCAGGGAGGGGGGCGCTCACCTGCCCACTCTGTACAGGCCACTGCAGCCAGCACCTGGATGGGGGCGAGGGCGTCGTCTGCCTGACCCACAGACAGGTGAGCCTGGGCCGAGGGGGAGGGCGGCGCAGGGCCCCGGGGGACGCAGCCTCAAGCCCCCTGTCCTCTCTCCCCAGTGGATGGAGGTGGCCACCTTCTCCTAGGATCTCGGTGCAGGAGCACCTGCTGCCAGAGGCGGGAGAGCGGCTGGGGCCCCGCCTTTCCCCTCCACCAGCCTGGACCAGCATTTATTCCGCAGAGAGGGGGTCTGAGCAGAGGCACCGCCTGCGGCCCTTCCCCTGCCTGTCTGGCCTGGGCTGATGCTCTGGCGTAAGCAGCGGTTCAGAGCGCAGCCTCTAGGCCTCAGGAGCCGGCCTGCCTGGGGTCGATTCCTGGCCCACCATTCGCCAGCTGGGTGACCCCGGGCTGTGTCTGCACCTCTCTGGGCTCTGCACTCCTCACCTGTGTACGGGGCAGTCATGGCACCTTCCTCGTGCAGGCTATACTAGTTGGGGCGCATTACTCGCTTAGAACAGTGCCTGGCCCAGAGCGGTCCCCGGGAGCACGCACTCCTCCACACTCAGGGGAACAGGGGCTGTGCCCTCCCCCAGCCCCCAGCCCCGCCTTGCTCTGGGAAGAGGTGTCCTATCATCGCTCTCCTAGAAGGCGGAGAGCGGAGACAGGAGAGAAGAAGAGAGAACACTGTAGAAATCCTTCTTAAAAATATTACATGTTTTATTATCCTGTCCCCAGAAGGGTGGTTTATCCAGAAACCAAGAAAAAAAAATAATCAATCAGAATAAACTCAAAAAAGGGCAGGGAGGGAGCAAAACCATCAACTAACAGGCAGCCAGGCCAGCAGCCCACCCTCCCCTGGGGAGGGTCCCAGAGACCCTCGCTCCACACAACGACAGAGACCAGCGGGCGTGGGGGGAGCGGGGGGGCGATCGCTACGTCATTACGAGCAGAGGCGGCAGAGATACGGTGCTAGGTGGATATATATTTATATAATAAATCCGTAAGTTAATAAAGTAAATAGCAATTCTCTGAAAGTTTTTAAATTTTTTTTTTTATAGTTTTTTGTGTGTGGGTGGATTTTTTGTTTTTTTGTGGGTTTTTTTTTTTTTTGGTCCTTAGAAAATCTGAGAGGCGTAGGTCCGGACAAAGCATGGTGGGGCCGGCGGGGGGCAAGGCCATCTGCCAGCCCCACTCCTCTGCTGCAGAGCAGGGGTGCCGGGCAGCACCCCTCAGTGGGGCAGTCACCTGGGGGGGGCGGGGAGACAGGAGTGGGGTCCCCTGTCCTGTCGGGAGCCGAGGCGCCCTCTGCTGGGCCCGTCGCAGGCCCGGGCGGCTCCTGGACAAGGCACGTCGGGCTTTGGCCTGGATGGATTTGGGAGCCTTGAAGGAACCTCGGGGACAAAGGGAGGGCCGGGGTGTGGAGGGCGTTCCGAGGGCTAGGAGGGAGCCTGTTTTGCTGTGGGGATCCACTGGCCCCTCCATGTAGTTAAAAAAAATGACAAAGCACATCATATATATTTACCAGACCAGAAGCGCTGCCCAGAGGCCCGCACGCATGCCCCGTCCAGGGGGAGGAAGAGCAGCCTCCGGCCAGGGCCAGGACGCAGAGAGAGAAGAGAGCCGGCCCAGCGCCTCCCCGCCCCGCCCACCCCAGGAAGGACTGCCAGGCGCTTTGCATAGATACAGAGTCAGAGGAGTGGCCAGGCCCAGCCCCTCCGGGAGGCTGCGAGGAGGGCGCAGGCCGCACAGGGCCGGCCTCACAGGTCGCTCTCGCCGTACAGGGCTGTGGAGAAGGACTTGTAGTCGAGGGCACCGGGCACGGCATCGGGGCCCTGGTAGGGCGCCATGCGGGCGATGCAGTATTCGGCCTGGTCGGGGGGCAGCTCTCTCCGCAGCTCCTCGGCCGTGATGAAGTTCTGGGGGCGGCAGAGTGGGACTCTGGGCCACCCCTACCCACATGCTGGCCCACCCTCCCCCATGCCCTGTCCTGGCAGCAAGGGCCCCACGCCGCCGGCCCCCAGGTGCCCCCGAGGCGTCTCGCTTACCTTGTCCCCTGCCAGGACCTTGAAGGAAGCGATGACCTGGTCGGCCGTGTCTGTGTCAGTGGTCTCCCTCGACATGAAGTCGATGAACGCTTGGAAGGTCACGAGGCCGCTGTGGTTGGGGTCAACCATGCTCATGATGCGGTTGAACTCGGCGTCGCCCTGCGGGGTGGGAGTCGGGCAGGGGACAGAGCATGTGAGCCAAGCAGGGCGGCCCAGCCTGGCCTGGCAGATGCCCCCCAGGAGAACCAGGCCAGGAGAGCAGAGCCCGAGCCTGGCCCAGCAAGCTGCCGTTGTGAGCCGGCCTCCAAGGGCCTTGGTCCCCCAGGCCGGGCTGGGCCCGCTGCTCCATCCCGCCCATGTCTGTGGGAAGTGAGGAGCTGGGACGTGGACCACACAGGGCTCCTGCTCATCAGCCCCAGGCTCACAAGCTAGCTCTGAAGGATGGGGGAGAGAGAGAAAGAGAGAGAAGGGGGAGAGCCAGGAACCTGACCCCTCTCCGCAGAGACTTCTAGGAAAGGAAGGGGAGGCCAGGGAGTCACTGGAGGGACCCCAGCCCAGCAGATGCAGCGGAAGAGGCAGCGAGGCTGTGCTGCTCTGGTGGAGTGTCCCGGAGGACAGGGAGACTCTAGGCGGGGGCGGAGGTGGCGGAGAGGA